ACAGTCTTTTCTTTTGTGGTCTTTCTGAGTTGTTTGCACCAGAAGAATTGTTCTGTTTTCCTGTAGTCAAAAACAAGTGAAAACCAGGAGTTGGCATTTTCCTAGGGGTGATTTGAGTCTAAAAAGGTTAAGAACCAATGTTCTAGGAGCATTTATGCTGCACATGATTAAGCAGCTTCTCATCTCTTCATGCTGCAGACCTTCAGGGTTCTTGAATATCCTATATCATCTCCCCAGGCTATATGATACCTATGAACAAAAGTCCTTAGAGTCATTTCTCCTATATGACACAGTACAATGCATTGTTACCACATAACTAAGGCAGCTCCTACATTGTTTTCTCTCCCCCAGCACTCTGATATTGTTTAAACAGTTGAATTTTTAAGGTACAGAACATCTTCCTGAATCTCTCAATGACTACAACAAAAAAGTGGATGATGCCAGAGCTCTGCACAATTGGGTCCTAATTAATTACCTTCAATGAATGACAAGACAACTGAAAAGTATGTATACTGATTCACTGCTACTAAGTTCAAGTCATAGACATCTACATGTATTAAAGATGGAATTTGTTTTAAGGTAGGCTCTTATCTAAGGGAATTTGTAAAGCATTAAGAGATTACATATTAGATATTTGTAAAAGCTCCCCAATTTCATCTGTTCACTTGAGTTAAGATATGGGAATTTGTGAATGTATTCAGATTTGTAGTTTGGCTTTAAGCTGTCTGGTTTTTGGACAGCCCTTTTGATTTACCATCTTGTGGCTAAATCACTGCAGGAATTTGGACACCGCCCAGTTCTATTTGTTTAAAGTCAGATCATGAGGCTTTGGCATTCCTAACTTATCCAGCAATCATTTGTTTTTAATTACCATTCAGTTCAACCACATACATAATGAATATGACTACTGCTTCCAACTTTTAGGCTATATAAACTTCTGAGCTGGGTGGAGCAATCTTTTTCATGGAAGCTTAATTATAAATTTAACGTAGAATGGGAATCTTCTTATTTTAGCCAGGTCTTTGTATATAACATAAATAAGAAAATGAAACAAGCCATAAATGAAAGATCCCACACAATACACCTGATTCACATCAATGGCAATTTTCTGGCCTCTCTATTCTTGCTGCGTGACTGTAGAAAGCTTAAAAAAACAAGCTGCTTTAATGTTTCTATTTATTCATGGTGTCCAGTTTCTAGAGGAGTCTGTGACTAGTGGTTTTAAACTCAATTTAGCATTTAAACTCATTTTCAGCTCTGTCCCTGTGGATTAGCAATTAGAAAAGGAAAGAAGTTCAAAGAAGAAGGGTTATAACCTCTCAGTGCTATTTTTGTGTGGTCTTTAAAAATACGCATCTTTTTTCTTCCAATGTTCAACAAACAGTGCAGCCAGCAGCCAGGTTAACTACTGGTTGATACTGAAGTCATGGTTACACACACATTAATTCTTAGAAGCCTTTTATGTCTGCTAATGCACACCCACACACACACATTTGTCTTGCTGATTGCATTGTAATGCAAGCCTAGTATCTACATATCCAACCGTCCCATTTCAAAAAAATTCATAAAAATATGAACAAGACCTATAAACTAAAAATATTCAGACTCCTCTTTTTTGCACACTGAAGAGTTGCAAAGGTCCTGTTAAGTACTTGTATTTCAGTAGCAGTTGTAAGCTTCAACTGAGAATGGGTTTAGACACTGTACAAACACATCAAAGGACAGAATCTTTACCCTGAAGAACTTGTGGTCCAAACAGACCAGGCATGGAGGAGAAACAAAGAGGCAAAATGATTTGCCAAGAGTCGCATTGTTGTCCCAGTTGCCCACACTGCTGCTCTACTTCTCATTGCCAAGTGCTTTCTTTCGTTTGATTCGTTGGATGTTTGATTACCCCAAGAATACTTAGAATGAATATGCTCCTGCACAGTGCTGTCATTCTCTGTAGTCAGTGATACTTATGTGAATGATATTCCAGTACCATTAACTCAGCCTTTAGACATAGACAGATGAATACATACCCTTGGGTAATTTATACTGATTTTTGTAAACAGAGGTAAATTATACCATGATCAAAGAAGAGCTATGCAGTTTCTCCCAGTGCAGCTCAGAATAGGCAGCTATTACTAATGCTTCACTGCTAGGTAACAAGGACCAAATAACATCTGCCTTTAACAACTGGCCACCTTAAGACAAACCTCAATTGCCAAAACTTATATTGGTTAAATTTTATTCCTGATGCTTTCAGCGGAATTCTCTACTAGAATGGGTGAATTTGGCCCAGCTTAGGAGCTTTCATCACCTGTCTGGTAGTTCTGAATGCCCATTATGTTGGTCTAAACATTGTGTTTGTCCCTCACCTCAGACTCCCTGCCTGTTGACATGTTTGGAGGCTCTGAACTCCAGTGTCTACCATATATCTCTCAACTCCAACATCTATCATCCATGTATGGATGTTCTGATAGACATACAAAACCAAATGCTGCTTTGGAACCACACAGTAAGCTCCCATTGCTTTCAAGGGGAGCGTGCCTGTGCCTTTGAGGGCAGAATCTGTTCTACCAGAGCCGAAAGGACTGTGAATTCAGTATACAAACTTCATGTACATAATAAGGTGGACAGACTATCCTGCGTGACCACAATAATGACAGGGAACACTTGACCTAGGGCTAAGTGAAGACTGCTACAAAAAGACATGTTGTTGCCCTCATCTTCAATACACAGATGTGGTCCACTCAAATAGAAACAAAACAACTTGTGCCATGGGCTCCTTTATGCAAACCTTGGGAGTGAGGAGAAAAAAAAATCTCTCTCTTTAATGTGTTATGATAGTTAGGCGTCTCTGAGATCATAGCCATTTCATACATTGGAATTTTCTAGTCATGTAGTTTACATATTGCATTCTTTTACCTGGCAAGCAAAATGGTTTGAGATGGAGAGACTTGACTAGAGTGCTACATTTGAGAAGTGAGCTGTCCAGCAGTGCTACTGCAGCACAGGGGTCAAGCATGTGAATTGTGACCACAATGTCATAAGATAACAATAGAAGTGGACAAAACCCTGTTTCTGTACATTTAGCTACACAGTAAACCTAGCTTTTCTAACACTGAATCTCTACTGAAGTTACCATTAAGAGGAAATGTAATCATATTTACCATAACATATAACTGCCAATATGAGAATAACCAGGTGTGGAGGGGCAGGACCAGAATCTCAGCTGTTTATATTGAAACCAGTCTTTTTGTCTTTGTTCTAGGAGTTCTAAAACATACCTAAAAAATTTGCCAGCATAATGTGACATATAGCACCTGATGTCGAACAAGTTGTATCTAAGGATCCATATCAAAGCAAAGATTTAAACCCTCCTTACAAAACAAGCTAAAAGAAAGCAAATCCAAAATCGAAACCTATGAATGTTATTTGTTTTAGATAATCAGAGAGATGGGAAAATTAAAATTGTTTTCAGGTGTATCAATGGCGCGCGCATGTGTGTGTGTGTGTCTGGTGCTGCTGCTAAAAACTATTTTGGAATTGTTTTTATAGGAAAGCACAAAATGAGTTGTTTTGGGTCTACCCGAGAAGAAGGCGGCGGCATGACAGAAATAATGGCAAGGTTTGTGTAAGCCCATAGAAAGCTGTGGATTTAAACTGCCATTTAGTATCTGAAGGTATAGATGACACATCGTTGGAATTCTGGGGATGTGGGGAAGGGAACCAACATAGGGAGGATTAAAGAGTTATGGCTCAGTAGAAATGCTACCTGTTTATTCTCCAATTTTTCTCTTCCCATGGTGTGTCTCATCTCACATTTGAAATGTTGTGGTCAAATTTTGCATCAATTTTAGTGGGAAAAAAATCACCAGTTGTCATACCATGTTTCCACCATTCACTGGGCACATTTACATGAGATGCTATGGCAATGTAGCGTCAGTAGGCACAAAGTGTGATGCCGATGCTACATCGCCATAATGACGCAGCGTCTAAAAATAACTGCACTGCTGGGACTGCGGAGTACCGGTGGGTACTGCATAGTCATTTAGTACTTGCACTAGAATATTATCTAGGTGTAAAGTCTAATAAACCTGTTAAATGACTGCATAGTACCAAATGTGCAGTCAGGGGCATGTGTAGAGACAACCACTGGAAATAATCCTAAAGTTGTCTCTGTCTAGCACCTATTAGTAGCAACTGAAATCTGAAATGTGGTTCCAATTGCTACATTCCTTTGAGATGTCATCATAAAAGATGTGCAGACAAGATCCACTGCAAAAGCACACCAGTGCACACACTCCCAGTGTGATTTTTATTTAACTCAGTATGGTTTGATCCCAGTGACAGAGGAACCCTTTGAAAACTGAATCCTAAAATGGAATTATAGCCTCATTCAAAATTCACCTGTTTTTCATTTCTAGTAATGAATGTGTCTGAGGCTTGAATCCCTGACCCACATGGTCTGGCAATTTTTTCCTCCTTCATAATGCCCCTCTCTTGCCCTTACCTTCCAGTCTTCCCCTGGTTCCACATACTTACAACATTCTGTTTTCTTCTGCTGTGCTGTTGCCTTTTTACCACATTCCCATCTGCTATAACCTCTCCCTGTTTCAAACTCCCACACCGAATCGTCTGTCTTCTATGTTGCTAACTTTCAGACTTTAACCACCTCTCTAGCCATTCTCATGGCTCCTTCAAGTGATTGGCTCTGTCTTCATTCCCAGAACAGCTCTCACTTCCTGTTCAATTATTCTGGCCTCCTATTGATCAAAACTCATAATGCACCAGTGTGATACCATTACTGTTAATATAATTTGATTTATCATCCATAAATGGGATCCTATGCCCATGAATTGTGCATTTTTAAAATATTTACATTGATTGCACTATCTCCAGTCTAGCTTTTATTTTAGAATATTATCTGCATGTAGAGTCTAATAAACCTGTTGAGTCGGAAGAATGGAATGACATGGAATTGTCTCTTGTAACATAAAAATAAATGTGTGTACCTTCGCATTTTGAAGGGGAGGCTGGTAACTAGAAGGTCGATAGTACATCCTCTGAGTAGCATCAGTGTGGATGTCTCCAAGAAATAGCTCCTCCACTAAGTGATCCAAATTGTGATGTAGGTACTGCTTCTCTACTCGAATCAGCTGAAGTTCATGCATGGCAAAATTCAGAGCCTTGGTGCATTCACAGCCACTGTCTTCTCTCCACAAATCATAGTTCACATCCTGCTCCCAAGGACTATCTGCTGGTACAAATCCAGGACATGTTCGATTTAACAGTCGACTTAGCTTTTCAGCTACTGCTTCACTGTGGCATATGATCTGAATGTTTCGTAACTGGTAGTCAGCTTCAGTTCCTCCTCGAATGATCCAGGATGCTTGGCGAAGGCGAATTTTACCACGGATAACTAAAGTGTAGGTAGGGTTTGTGCAGCGGTTGCCACCATAGTAAAACTGATAGGCTTTGAAGGTGTTATTGTGGTAGAATCTGTAAGATCTTGTAATAAATTCAGGGCCTGATCTAACTTCGCAGCTGTAGGAGGATCGAAAATGAAATAAAACAATATTTTAGAGGGGTTGCCAGGGTATCATGCTACAATCAATAAGATTGGTTAAAGCTTTTTAGTGCTTACTAATATATTAATACTGTATCAATTTATTTTTTTTATGGCACAAAACAGTCCAGCTACATAAAGCACTTACATGCCCCAAATAATAAAGGATCTGACCTCTTTACAATACCCCTGTAATATGGAAGTATTCCCCTCTTTGTTTTAGAAATTGGGAACTCTGATACCAGGAGACCTGAATAATTTGCCCAAGGTCACACAAAACATGGGAACTAAACTTGAGTTATCCCACCAACCTGTGACAAACCATTCCTCTCTCTCACTTGCCCTGTTGGAATAACAGTGATCTCTTCTGTTCTTTACTTAGTTAATACTGTTTTACATGGATAAAAAAATGCCTAGCTTTATGAATAATTACTCCTTGGGTAAAGTAACAGGTGGGAGTTCATTTATCAACCATTTATTCATTGGATGGTTTAAAACTAAGCTTAATTGTGATCACATTCATTAGAATATTTAATTTTTGATATTTTTAAAGAAAATATTTTGGTTCATATATTCTTTTTTGTTTTAGGGTCACCATTTAAGTAGTTCTTTAGAAGCAATGGCAGCCCATTAAATTAATATTTTCTTTTTTGTGTAGTAAATTTGGAGAAAAGACTGATGGAATGTTATGATATTCAGATAAGTACTTATGCATACTTGGGCTGGGTTAGCACAGTTTCTTAATTTCATTTACTAATGAAACAATGTGTACAGAAAGCTCAGAAAATAAAGATCTATTCACCCGATCTACTGTTATGTAGTTGACTGTAATACAGTGTATTCTTTGTAATGAGAAAGGTTTAACAATATTTTGTTTCCTTACTTAGTAAAATCAAATTAAAAATATATTGTCTGTTGCATTTCAAACTGCAGATGACAGAGTGGTGTATAACAAGGTACCATTCTGGTGTACCCTGAAAGCCTTTGGCACGTCTCTATAAAACAGTGTTTTCTTTTAAGAGTGTGCATGTTTCCCTATGTAATTCAAACAATCTCTTTTTCTTTTTGCTTACCCAGTAGAAACCCAGTGCCCTTCAATATTGGGAGGCATCTGTACAGTGATTCGGGCCCCATTATGAAGATGTTTCAGCATATGATGACACTGTGATTCTTTGAAAGCCCTCCATGGGCTCTTCTCTAATGATCGAGGATGGGATCTGCTGTCTGGATGAAGAAGAGCAGAACCCTCTCCCAGCCCTGTAAAATAAAGGTATGAGTTATTGTGGGATTCTGGTGAGAGAGACTGAGACACATGGTATAAATCAGGCTGAGGATCTCCTCACAGTATGCCGCTCACTCTCACTCATAATTATTATGCATATAGGACAGCATTTTTACATTACTTATCTCATTTGAAAAGAAAAATTGGGAACAGTCTCTCTTTGCTAACCCATTACAGATCCACTGAATAGTTTGCACATGGTATAATGACAGCTGAACCAGAACCAAAATTCTGAATTCGAACATCCCTGAAATACGAATTTGGATTTGAACTTATAGTTATGTCTATACAGTGTAAGGCAGTGCCATGCAGAAATGCACAGGCTAAGTCTCCACATGTTAATTCTGGAACTGGAAGCAGTATAGTCATTTGTAATTAGTGCAGATCTCTGCATGGGATTACGTGATACTATATAGATCTACCCATTGTCTCTAATGGGACAAACTACAGTTCTGGAGCCAAGTACCTCTGCAGCTTTGGGAAATTCGTATCAAGATACGGATATGAACTTTGTGGCTTTGGCCCTCCTCTAATTTAAATGTTTCTATAATAAACTCTCAAATAAAGGACACTCTTTAAAGGCAAGGGAAAACAGATATTAAAAGCATGGCTTCTGTACACAGGAAGCCTCTGTGATGTTTGAGGTGGCCAATTAGAGGCGGATTTTACTATTTTTATTTACAGGGGAAAAGGAATTTCAAAAAGCTAATTTTATCTCGAGCACACAATAATTTTGGTTTCTGGTAATGTATACGCACAAAACCAGCTAGCAATCTTTCTACACAGAATTAATTGAACAAAATGAATATGTAGTATCAAAAAGAATGCTTCTTGCGCTCATTTAGGCCTCCTATCTTGTAAAAGGTATAGAAAAATACTGTTCAAAAGAAAAATCATATCCAGGACTAACAGCTATTACCATGGAGCAACAAACTCTGGTGCATTTTGCGCCGGAGTTTATTGCTCTTGGGCACCACATTGTCATGTGTGCCTGGGTCTGCAGCATGTTAAACTGGGTCAGAGCAGCCGCAGCTGGCAGGAGTCCAGGGGTCAGCCTGCTAGCCTGGGGCTGCTCTGACCAGGCTCATCGTGCTGCAGAGGTGCTAGCTGGGGCACGGGGGTTCCCCAGTGTGGAGGTAGTCAGCAGACAGTCCCCACGCTGAAGCACCCTAGTGCCGTAGCCAGCCTCTCCAGCACCTATACATGCGGTGTTGCTGTGGAGTAAAAAACCCCGCAGCAGGATAGTACTTTCAAATAGAAGAACTATCCTGTGAGAGTTAATTAGTTTATTCTGTCCTAATAGCATCGTATGTGTAAAGTCTGATGTTTTATGGCAGAGTTAATAAGGCAGCTCCACAGTAAATATCTCATGTATATGTGCCCAGTGTTTATGTTATTAAAAGAAATATTCCCTATTATTAACCTCATATTCATTTATTATTATTATTATTATTATTATTATTGATTCTGGCTAAAAGCCATGCTCCTGAAATTAACCTCATATTACTAACTATGCTAATAAAACACAATTTAAAACTATGTGAAGGTAGGAAATACACAGGTGAGATCTGAAAAAGAACATGGTCACCTCCTGGTAGAATGAGACAGAATTATAGTGCCTAAATCCAAAACTGTGATGCTGAAAACCTCTGCTTAGTTGCCACCTAACCCTAGAGGCAACTGAACTCTATCGGTGCTTCAGTTTGGGATTTTAACGTTCCCTAAAAGTTCTGCTCCTGGACCTGTTCAGAAGCACCTGTGTTTTAACAGGGTTGAACCCCTTGTTCCATAAGCTCAATCTGATCTACAAAGTTGGTCTGAGTCCCTTGAGGCACCTTGACATGGTTGTCATTCTCAGAGTATGTCTGTCATTCACCAATAAGAGCAGCCACTGCTCTCTTTTAAGACAATCAGTGGAGGAAAAGGTGGTGCTAATGGACCCCCTTTTATAGAATAGCTTAGCGGTTAGAGCAGGAAACCTAGGTTCAATTTTCTCTTTAGCCTAAGGAGATTCTCACCTGGGAGAAGAATTCCTGGGTTCCAGTCCCTGCTCCCAACACTGTTTCTGAATTTTGCATGAAACAGATGCAAGTTAAAAGGAGGTATCATTCAAAGGCACCTGAATTCAGAGGATGGGTGGGATTAAGGACTAGCCCCTGTCTTCATTGCTTCCTTTTGTTGATGGCTCCCTGCTTAGCATGCTCTCTTTTTTGTATCCCATTTTGGGGCGTCTACCTCTCCTCAAGCACTAGCTAGAGAGCCTAGTACAGGGCTCTACATTCCATTTGGGTACGCAGGGACCTAGGTTAGGCATTATGGTGTCTAACTTTTAAATTGCCTAAATTCTGTATTGGATCTGGTCTCACGTAAATAACATTTGGCAGAGCTGTGGCTGTTGAATTTCAGCATTATTCACTATTAGATGTCATACATTCATTTCTCATATCACCTGAAAAAAACAATGTCATTCGTTTGTTCTGTATATTCACCACATCCCCCATCAGCAGGGAGCAACTTTGTTAGCCCCAGGAAGAAGTGGACTTTGTTTTAAAAAAAAGAAGTCAAAATGGAAGAAAGGGATTTATCCATAAAATGATAATTGCTAACTAAAGATATTCAGGGGTTTGTTCTGTAGAAAAACTTAAGGATAATTACAAATAATACAAATACTAAAGCAACTTCCAATGAAGGATCTTGAAGATTTTACAAATATTAGTGAATGCAACTCTACTAATTACATGTGATTTTTTTTATTCCTATTTTGTAGGTTGTAGTAGGAAAGATTTAACAATGATTAATGTTTTTTGGGCATCTCAGTACTTGAGCCCTCAACTTAAGATGCTGTAAAGAAATTGATTTGCAAAAGATACATATTCAGTATTTTCTGAAAGTCAAGCTTTTTTAAGGCATCTCACCTTACGCTCCCAAAATTATTACTTACTATTGAAAATGTAGGCCGGCCTGGTTTTCTGATTACTCTGGTTACAGGGTTGCCTTTGCATTGCCAGAAAAACGAGTTCAACCAGTTGTGGCTGGACATATTAATAATAGTCTGTTATTAAGAATCAAAATTTGTGGCATAACGTTTGTTTATTTGCCTACTGTATACTACCCCATGCCTAAAATCCTACACATTCAAAGGTCCATAACTCTTTTAAGCATACAATTTTAAAATGAATTAATTACCCAAGCTTTTTCCGCCCCCACAGTGTTTCAAAACACTAATCAGTTGATTTAGGCTCAGTTTGACTGCCTGAGGGGCTGAACCCCACTTCCCCTACCAGCCAGCTAGCAGTGCTGGCTCATTTTCTTCCCTGAATGCTTAACCACAGACTTCTGTCTTTGCAGATTGTTTCAAAAAACATACAACCTCATGTTAAAAAGCCTTTTGACAACTTACATTCCCACTTGGTCAGTAAGTATTTGTAATCTCCCACCAGGAGGAGATTTGGAATGCCACATCTGTACATTTATTATGCTTTTCAAGCAGCCACCCTTCCCTCCTTCATGTCATGAAATTCAGAAACATAGTTGTGTCTGATTAAGGAATCATGTGTCCATTTAAACATAATTATGCATTTTAACTGCACTGAGCCAAACTCCATTTCTAAGTGGGAAAGAGAGGGTAGAAGCTTGCATATGTACAGACCAAAGGATAGCATATAATAGCCCCATTAAATATTCAAAAACCCTAGAGGAAATAGTAAAAAATAAGGCATCTCTGCAAATGAATCAAACTATATATGATATTACAGATGTTTTTTTCCCCTTAACTTTGTAAACAAGTTGTAATGCTTCTTGCTTTATCCCATCATCTGTGGCCAGAGGCTGAGTATATGTGGTTCTGTATACAACCGACTGTAATCAGGGTAACGAAGGGATTCAGGGAAAGCTCGAATCTGTAGCCATAGAGATTTATGTGCCAGGAGGAAATGTTCTGATGAGCTGGAGCCCACCAAACCATGATAAATGAGGGCTGCAACAAGGCTAGGTAATCAACACAGGCAGAGGGACACAATGCAGGCTCCAGAGAGTGAGATATATGTGGGAAACCATACATACTAGACCAAATCAGATTGTTGTTGAAATATAGACACAGTACTAGGATGTTTGATGGCCCATGAATAATGCAGTGAGAATAAAATTTTCCTACCTGACCTATATCTTTACCACCTGGATATACTTTGTAACGTGTGTTACTAGGCAAGGCAGACAAATATTTAATTAGCACAGACGCTTGCACCACTGAATAAGACTGTCAGTGCCTGTGTTTTTTTTTCCCCATCTGTGTCTGTACCTAGTGCTAACATATGCATCTAGGTGGGAGATCATAATTGCCTTTAAGTCCCTTGAAGATCAGGTAAATACTTGTATGCATTGTCCTCTTTTGGGTGTCTGTCCCAAATTCTGCCTCGTGATATCATCAGTCAGTGGCGGGGTAAACAATTACGTTGTTTCTTTAATATAGTTGTGCTTCCTGAGTAAAACAGTAGCATCTTCATTCTAATACCTAGCTGCTGTCAGTTGACTGAAGATGAATGGACATGTTCAGGATAAAAGTCCTACTCTGAGGGCTATTTATGCATGAGGGGATGATCTGACGCAGAATGCCGTCCCTCTTCTCTACCTGCAGCCCATGCTGAAATGTTTAGCTGGATTGGGACCTCATCCAGTTTATGACATCAGCATTTGAATATTCACTTGGCTGATAGATAATACAAAGATGTTAACATCCTCAGGGTTAACTCTGCTTTTGTGAAATGGGTAGAGAAAAAACAAAAGTTAATTTAAAAGCCCACTTCCAAAAACAAGTTCTGCCCAAACATACTTGCAACATACTTGGAATATTTGCTTTTATTCAAGGGGCTCTAAATGGACTATTCTCAACAGCAAAAGCAAACAGGTTTCCTTAGTTACACAGTAGGCATGAGATATCTATTGCGGAGCTGACTAAATAGCTTCGCAGTAAAACGTC